TTTAAACAAATCTATAAACCGGGGAAGCGGGCCCGGTGTTTTGGCCTTAGAGAAGTTGAGGAAAGGGCGTACACCCTTATATCAAGGATTTGTTTTCTTGAGAAATAAAAATTAAAAAATCCGAAGGATTTGGGCACCCATCCCACGTGTGTATGGAGACCACTGGCTCAACAGTCTGCACTTTTTTTTTTTTTTTTTTTTTACAGTCTGCATTTTTTCAGGCCTATATGAAAGAGAATCCTATGCCACAAGTTCAGTGAAAAGATACAAAAAAAAGGAAAAAGTGAAGATCAGACCATGGGGGCTAATTCCCACTTGCGTCGTTGAGCTAGCTCAACGTTGAGGACACAGGGTTTAGTATTTAGTGAATGTCCTGCTTTCTTCGTTTTAATTCAAAGAAAAAACCTTTATTTATTATTTTATTTTATTCTTTTCTAGAAAGAACGGGCAGGGAAGAGGCAAGGTGTAATGCAATGGCAGCATGGAATGGGGGCCCCACCAGTCAAGGAGCCATGCTATAGCAGCGCAAAATTATTTAAAATTTTAGAATATAAATGAAAAAAATTGTTCGGGATTTTTTCGATTTTGTGAGACTGGCTGAGATTCACTTGAAACTTCCTTACTCACAGTGTGAGGTGAAATTGAGAGAAGGACATAGCATTAAAAAAAAAAAAAAAAAAAAAAAAAAAAAAAAAACGTCCTTACTACTTATAAGAAAAAGCCAAAAAAAAACTCCAAAAAACTCCAAAAAAGGGAAAAGGTAGTTGAGGTACAGTGATGCAGACGTTTAAACCCCTTTAAGGGCCCTGGATGCTATTAATCAAGTCGGAAAAAAAGAACAAGATAAAAACACAACAAGAAGGAAAGGAAAGAAGAATACATTTCCCAAAAAAAAAAAAAAAAAAAGAAAGAAGAACACAGAGGGCTGGGGTCAAGTCTCACTACCAGCCTTGAGTTTCCTGAACGCCTGAATCCGGACGTGTTTGTGGAGATGTGCAGAAATCATGTCGAGTTTTCTCAACCGCACATCTCCACAAACAGGTCCAGATTCAGGCCTGGAGGAAACTAACGCTGCTACTGGGACTTGGCCCCTGGGGTAGAGGGAAAGGAAAGAAGATGCAAGAGGGCTGGGGTCCACATCTCCCGTATTTGCCTTTTTTTTTTTTTTTTTACAGAAACCCAAAACCCCCGACAGTGTTAGGCCCTTATATGTACTTTATTTCAAAGATGCTGTGTCTGCTTCCCCCCCCTCTCCCCCCCCCAGCAGGTACAGCTCCCTGGACCAATAGCGTGCATGCTTGACGGTTGTAATGACCAGTCAAAACACAGAGTCTGACTGAGAACACTGCTGATTTCTGAGTTTTGCCGCTGGAATGAATGCCTTGCTGAAATTCCCGCATTCTGCCGAGTTTTCTATGTCTGTGTGTGTGTGTGTGTGCTTGCTCGTCTGCCTGTCTGTCTGAGTGCTTGTCGGCCTGAGTGTGTGTGTGACCCGCAAGGGCACTTGTTTGTTTGGAGGCCCCGCAGGTCCGGTACTTACCTGTGGCAGTGACTTTGAGGGTTGCAGCGGGGAAAACACTCAAGTGGCGGGAATAGGCCCGCAACACGTAGAGCAGCGGGGGAAAAACACTCAAGTAGCAGGTAGGCCGGTACCACACCAATTGCGGTAGATGTGTCGGGTACCCGAGGCCAGCAGGGAAAACACTCAAGTCTGTCTCTTATACACATCTAGATGTGTATAAGAGACAGATGCAAGTTTGAGCGAGATGCTGCTTGAGCAAGCCCTGGACTTCAGAGCGCTGCTAGGAGGAAGAGTGCTGGGGATTACAGCGCTGGGAGGAGGAAGAAGGCCGGGAGCTTCTACCTCGGCTATGGTGGAACTCTACCGGTAGGAGGAGGAGGAAGAAGGCCGGGAGCTAGGGAGGAGAGTGGCGAGGTACCTACCTGGCTACGGTGGGGGCCATCTTCATCACCTTGTTAGGCGCTGCATCTGGAAAGCCCCAGTTGGGGTTGAGCCGCACCAAGAAGGCTTCAAGTCAGAGTCAGGCATGGCGGCCTGAAGGCCCCAGTTGGGGTTGAGCCGCACCAAGAAGGCTTCAAGGCAGAGTCAGGCATGGCAGCCTGAAGGCCCCAGTTGGGGTTGAGCCGCACCAAGAAGGCTTCAAGGCAGAGTCAGGCATGGCGGCCTGAACAGCAGCGGACATAGCTTCTTTGCATTGTCTTTTGCACAGCAGCGCTAGGCCCTTAGTAGTCTGCCATAGCCGCGGCCTGGTTGAGGGGGACGAAGATGGAGGCCATGGCTATGGTGGACCTCTACTGATGCCAAGCAGTGGAAGTGGGATTCGGACATCGATTCTGGTTCGGCCATTCATCATTATTTTTTATTGTTTATTAGCTGAATAAGAGGGGAGGGGAAAAGGAGGAGGAGTTCGGCTGGCGAGAAGGAGAGGGATTATCATTGGTCATTTGCTGGTGTACTTCTTCTTCTTCTTCTTCTTCTTCTTCTTCTTCTTCTTCTTCTTCTTCTTCTTCTTCTTCTTTCTCTCTCCCTCCTCTCAAGTTTACTCATTTCTTTTGCAATTGGTCGGCATAGTGCTTTCTCGCGAATTTTGCACTTCGAAATTGGCCAGGATCGTAACACGGGGAAAAAAAGGACAAAAACTATTAAAAGGAGTCGAAAGACCAGAGAGAGGGACTCGATAGACTACTCAACATTCCGTGTGTCTCTGGACTAAAATCTGGACCGGGGACACAATTGAACTGCAGTGATCCAACATTTTGAAATTTGCATGCATCAGGACCATTACCCCCCAGCTCCAGATAAACTAGTAGGCAATGCTGACAAAGCACTAGGCAATGCTAACAAAGCGGCCAGACTACATGACCCACAAGGGACGCTACATGGAAAAACAGTGCGCACGGTGGGCAGCAACACAACAACACAGTGAAGCACAGGGCAGCGCTGACAACGCGGCCAAACTACACGGCACACAAGTAACGTGCACACGGAAGGACAAGTCACTCGGATGGGCAGCAAGACAAGAAAGCAGCGAGGCACAAAGCAACACTGACAAGGAAACCAAACTACACGTCGGCAAACACTGTCAGACAAACTGCAGGGAAAAACCAGAGCTGTCCCCCAGATAGTGATGAAAAGGCACTCTAAACAACCCACGGCCGGCCTCCGCTGGCCTGCTGTTTATCACTTCTTAGAAGTGCTCAGTTAGTCAGAGTCAGACACAAAAAGTAAGAAAGAAAACTTAAAAAAGGGGGCAAAAAAAGCAGACATACGTAAATTTTAAACTGACCGTGTGTGTGTGTGTTTGTGTGTGCACTGTGCACACTTTGTGTGAATTATTTGTGGTGAATGGTGTTGGTAGGTGATTCAAGCTGGCGAAAAGGTGCGGTTCGCAGTCACATTTTTCTCCGACGAAGTTGGCGGCTTTAGGGCAAGGCTCCTGGGCGAGCAGCAAGTGATTGCACTCTGCGGTTCTCACGAGGAAAAGGAGATTGCAGTCGTCGGTGCGGATAAGACTGTGGATGTTATCAGCCTGTACGGTCGGGATCGTCGGCCCCTGACTGCCGATACAGACTTGACCACTGTCCATCTGCAGATCAAAGGCCATGCCAATGAGTGGCGAGAACTCGATCTGCCTCCAGGTGTCGATCTGGTGCCGCTAGAGGAGAGGGGAACTACTACTCCTATGGCGAGTAGTCATCGTTCCGGGGTAGTTTTCCGGCCGCTTTTGCCCGTAAAGATCGAGCTGGAGGCGATCTCCGTGGTCCCGAGGCTGGAAATGGAGCCGCCGACAAAACTCGCATTCCAGTGTTTCTCGTACGAGTTCAAGCTCATCCATTCCTCTTATCGCCAATCTGTTACCGTTACGAATGTGCAGGACAGCCCACTCGAGTTCCGCGTAATTACAACTGCACCCTTTACTGTGTTCAGAATTCAACCGTCGGTGCCACAAGGGTTGCTATTCGTCAACGACAGGTCACAAGCGGACGGTCCAAAGTCGGACGTCCTCGCAAAGGCACAAGACTTAGTCAAACTTCCACCGCGAGAGAGTGCAGAAATAGAGATCATGTTCGATTACCCTGGCGAAGGTGCAAATGAAAACCGACCGAGTATTTCTTACCCGGGCGATTGGCTGTCTACTGCAGCACCGACAGCGATGTCCGATAATATAACCAAAGTAGAACAATCTCATGGTGCGAAACGCGGAGATGCCAGCTTCGAGGGAGCTATGACTGTCTTGTTCAGCAATGGAGCCCAGCAGGTACTGACCTATTTATTTATTTATTTTAAATAATTTATTTATTTTAAAATTTAAATATTTATTTATTTTAAATTATTTATTTATTTCAAATTATTTATTTATTTATTTTTGGGATAATGGTTTGCAGAATACCCCGATCAGTTGAGATATATGCCGAAAATGCCCCTGAAACATGTGGGTAGAGTGGAATGGCCTTTTGGGCTGAATTCTTTGTGTTATGCCCCTGTAAGGCTGCTGCGCAAATTTGCAATCGGGACCTTCCCGTTTGGGCCGGTGTGCAACTTTGCAATCTGGACCTCCCTGTTTGGGCCCTGGCCTTTTGCAATAGTGCCTAGGAGAAGTTGGCAAGTACCCGGTAGGGGCATTTTGCAAACTTAGACAGTACCCGGTAGGGGTATGTTGCAAAGATGGGGGTTCGAACCGATGCCAGGGGTATTTCACAAAAGACTTTTTTGGTAGGAGAGGCATTCCTCTCTATTCACATCTTTCAGTTTTTTTTTTTTTTTTTTTTTTTTAATCCATAAATGGAGACCTTTCCGGCACAATCCAGGCATCTTTCAGTGGTATTTTGGCATGCATTGGTGGTATTTTGCAAATTAGGGCTTCCATTGAAGCCTCAATAAAAATTAAACAAATTATTAAAAAAAATATTAAAAATTGAGTCTCTATTAAAATCTCAGCATCTGGAGAAGTAGCCAGAGGTCAGGTCCTCCAAGCACCTGTGGGCCCGCCCTGCTTCTAAGAGGCAATCCTGCCCCTCTTCCAAGGAGAATTGATCGCTATCCTTGTGGTGTAAAAAGGGCAGGCGCATTTGATGCTATGTTTGTTCGATGAACGCAGAAACCTGGCCTTTATCACGCCAGGTTCATGCCTTCCAAGCATGACCATAGCACCTGTGGGCCTGCCCTGCTTCTAAGGGGCAGGTCAGCATATCTCAGTGGAGTTTATCCCTACCTTGTTCCCCTGAACGTAACGCCCTATCATCTGGAATGTATACAGGTTATCTCCAGGCCAAATGCAGTCATTTATAAAGGGAATTTTGTCCGGGGCTGGCCCCGTGTTGCCAACATTTGATGCTCCCCCCCTTTCCCCCCCCCCCCCCCAACTTAAACCACCANCCCCCCCCCCCCAACTTAAACCACCAGTACCTCGCTCAGCTATTGAATCCGAGCCTCCCGGCACGCTGCGCGCCAAGTCCTGCCGAACCGCTGTCGCAATTTTCTTTTTCGTTTTGCCTGCGGCCTCCAGCCAATGCGGTCCGGCAGGCCGAAGCCCAAATGGCGCGGCGGGTATACGGGAAGCGCTGCGGCCGATAGCTGGGCCAGGTACTGGTGGTTTAAAGCCCCAGTGCCTGACACACTCATTTTCTCTGCCGTTCAGTCGGTTACCGTAGAGAACCGGCCGGAAATGCGCATTGTGGTCTGAGGTTGTGGGTTCAAGACCCAGCAGCCTCGCGCATGGACACCGGAGGCCCGGCGGCGGGCGTTGACTGACGCATGGCTGTTCAGACACTCCCCGTGGTTCTGTGCACGGTAAGGATTACAGACACTGCCTGCTCAGCCCAAGGGAGTTCAGTCCGTAGGTGTTGTCTGTTGGGATCTGGGCTGTGGGAGGTTTGCCTGACGCAGTTGGTCTGAAAGGAAAGTGTTCTTGGTGACTGAATTCAATTTGTAGAACCATACGTTGTCAACTGTGAGTGTTGAATCATACAACCATACAGCTGTGTACACTGGACCAGGTCCGGAGTCAAAATTCTGTTGAGTGTTGAATCATATAGTACATATACCTGTATATAACATAGAATCGGGAGGGGTAGGCTGGGGGCTAGTGGAAGGACGGATGGTAACCCACCACCTACTGAGTTTGTTGTTAGTGCCTTCTGATGTTTGGAGTAGGTACCTAGCTGATGACCGGGGGCTGTTGATGGGTGGGGGATGGTCTACTAGTGATGATAAAATAGGGGGGCATGTGGGCCAAGGCATGGGTGCCTTTGGGGGTAGAAGCCCAGCCGATGACCGGAAAGTGGAAGACTGTCTATTCGTTGACGACAGATTAAGACTTAGTGTGCTTCGCCCACAGATGTCTGCCAACCAATGATTGGTTGACAGATCGCACTAACTTAGAGCAAAAGGGTCTACTGCTCCCATGGTACCAACGGTGTCAGAGTCTTTTCCCCTTCCAAAAAAGGGCAGAAACTATTATCTTCCTACAATGCCCGATCGCCCAATTCATATGGAGGTGGTGGGACCGCATATGGAGAAAGATGGTACCCACATCCCTCTGGCCCTTGTGACGCCCAACCTCACGCCCGGCGCGACTTCCTGATCGGAGTGGGATGGGGGCCTGGAAGTGCGAAGAGGGGTGTGCCAAGGATTTTTGGGAAAGTGGGGGTTGAAGTCCCAGGTCG